CACAGCTAGTGTTAATACAACAGGACGTATTTTTGAGAGCGATGAAATTCAGTTATTATGTATCGTCACTATTACTCCACTAGACATTGAACTTAATGTTACCATTAACTGGTTTGGACCTAATGGACTCATTACAATGAATGATGCTAAGTATAGCATTAGTACTGGGATAATCAACTCAACAACTATTGGAAGTAGTTTAAATTTCACTGCATCTCTATCAGATAATGGAACTGATTACTATTGTACTGCTAGTGTTGGACCTGCTAGTAATGTGAGTAGATTTGAACTGATTATACCATCAGATACTGTTACATCAACTATTAATAATGTTATGGTGGAAAGTAAGTTATTTAAATATGGTATAAAATTTAATTTATTTCTTTCATAGTTGTACCACTACCAACAGTGTTAACTGATAATGCCGGTATTCCAGTAACAGGAGGTTCATTGCAGTTAGTGTGTACTGGAACTGCACCAGCTAATGTATCAAGTATTGCTACTGTTAGTGTTCAATGGCTTCTTAATGGTACTGTGTTTACTAATGATACACTGGAAGGAGTCAATGTTACTAATAGTGGGTCTATGGCCACATTATCATTCAGTTCTCTTAATGCTTCTACTCATGAAAGAGATGATTATACTTGTGAAGCTACTCTTAGTATTCCTGATGTACTAACAACTAAAACAGCAAGCATTATGTACAACCTCCTGACATTATGTAAGCACATTTTTAGTTAAAATAATTCATCTATGCATTTGTAGCTAATCCTATTGTCTCTGTATTTGCAAGTCTACCTGTTACTGCTAGTCTATGGTATTCATTAAACTGTACTGTCACAATAGTAGCTGGAGTCCTCAATATAACATGGTTTAATAGCAGTGGAACTGAATTAATAGAAGGAAATGGAATAAGTTTCAATTTGGTGACTGTTTCTGATACTGTACAAAGATATGATTTGATTTTTAAGTCACTTGACTATTCAGATATTGGAGTGTATACTTGTCAAGCTAGGCTTACTGTTGATGAAGATGGTATTCTGTTTAATGGAAATGGATCGGCTATTACAACTGTTAGTATAAGAAGTAAGTTAAATTTTTTTAATTTCACTATTTATAACTTGTTTACAACAGTACCTGTACCACAAGTATCTATATCTCCTAGTGATGATTCTCCTTTTATTCGTGGAACTGTTAGAACTGTTAGCTGTTCTGTTGTTTTCACTCCTCCTTTACCTACTAATCCTAATGTCTCATTTACTGTCTTCAAAGATGATGAAGAAGTGCCACTTGTGAACAGTTCCAGAGTAATAGCAGTTCAGACTGGAACTACTGGTGCTCTTACCTTTCAACCACTCAATTTCTCTGATGCTGGTAATTATACATGTACTGCTACAACAAGAGATGGTGCTAATAATCCATTAATAATACCAAGCAGTGCTTCTGATGAATACATTGCTACAGTACAAGGTAATGTATTATATGCATCATAAACAAATTTAAATTTAATATCTCTTTATAGCCATTCCTATTCCTAATATCACATTCACTACTACTACTTGTAGATCACTGGGAGAGAGTTTAACTTTTTATTGTACAGTTGATGTGCTAGATGACCTATACAATATTAATGTTACTAGCAGTATAGTGAAAAATGGAGAACTTATTACTAGTGCTACTGGATCTGGTGATACTACAGCAATGATTAGAGTTGATTCATTAAGGTCATCTGATGCTGGAGACTATCAATGTATTGTTAATATCACTCAACCTGATATAGACTATGAATTTAATGGAATGGAAACTGCTCAAGTGATACTTACATGTATGTTGGAATAGTTGAATTAATGTTTTATTTATTATTTTTATAGTACCAGCTCCTCCAGTTAT